ATAGACGAACCATAAAAGAATTTTCTCAATGTAATTTCTTTTTTGTGATAAGTTTAATCTATTTGAACTCTTATTTTCAATTCTTGCACATTGATGACGAGTTTATGTTCATTATTGTAAATGGATCTTGGATGTGGAAAAATATTTGGAGACGTGGACTGTTTGGCAGGGAAAGGAATGAAGAATAAAGGTTAAAGGAGATCCTCATGAGCAGGATTATGCTATCCTCCTAACCGGACCAAAGAAACTAGAGCTTTGATGCAGAAAATGGAAACATAGTTGGCAAGGCATACTCAATGATGGTTGAACAGAGCAGAATTCTGGAGCCAAGAATATGCAAAAGACTCTGGAACAAATTAATCAAAAAAAATTTGATGCAGCTCTTTTGCTATTTTGAATGTACTTTTAGGTGATCTCTTGTAATATCTTTTTGAGAGTTTGGGTAGAGTAACGCTTGTACTCCTCATTATAATAAAATTTTAATTCATAAAAAAAAAATGTTCATTATTGTAAATCATTAGATTGTCATTCTGAAATTTTAGTTAATTTTACATGATTTCTGTTAAGTTTTTAACTTATTGCACCTTTTTTTTGTCCAATCAGGTTATTATACTAATTGGATATGGATGGCACGAAACAAAAAGATCTTTGACAATGTAGAGGTAAACCTGATCAAACTTTTTGAACTTATTCAATTAAGATCATTTACATGGATTAAAGTTAGGAAAAGCAAGTGTTATTTCAATCTATCAGACTGGTTAATTAACCCTGCCTCATGCCTTACTAGTGTGAAGTAGGAGGGGTTTGAAAGATGGTAGTAACACTAATAGTGCTTATTTCTGTAAACTGAGGGGATTGGTTGATGTTCATGTAAAAGGGTTTGAGTACCCCTTGTACTCAAGATAGTAATGAAACTTTTGCTGTTCAAAAAAAACTGATTGGATATGGATTTGTTAGATGGGTATTTGAAATCAAGTTCTTGGTCAATCTACTGTTCAAGTGGCCAGAATTTAAGATCTGCTTTAACTTGGTAAGAGATTTATGGATAGCGTAGGAATTTTATATTATAGTATACCAATGGTTTTTAGACATGGGCAGAAGATATATTTGGCATATATTCTATTGAAAGTAATGCACGCGGAAAAAATGAGCCAAGAAATGAAAAGCGGAAGAAAGTGAATGTGCCTGAAGCATAAAGCACAACCCTAAA